ATTAATTCAAAAGATAGTGGGATAGATTAGATCAATGTATTAATGATAATAATAATGAATGAAATCACTTATATTAATGGTAATTACGATTAGTTCAAATGAACGATTCTTGTAGTTCGCTTCTACAACTGAACCAAAAAAAAAAGAATCTAGAAAACTGGACGATTTTTGCGACAGCAACCAATCTTCTGCCGATTATTGTATCACAGATATCATACTTTATCCTATCTGCTTGGTATTTCAATTATCGTTGAGAATCATCTCATATTAAGGATTCATAAAATTGGATAATCTTTATGGCAGCAATTAAAAAAGTGAAAAATTATATCTTATTGATTAATTGGAAGTTAATTTTTCCAAGAGGAAGTAGTTTACGAAATTATGCGCCCATAAAGGATTACTAGTAACATCCAAATTTCGTAGTAATTCTATGATTAGGATAACAAAGGTACTGATAAATTGACATCTAATTTGAGGGAAATCTCATAAAGGGGATTTTTTTTTTTTCAAATTGTTAGAAAGATTGCTATAAGCCGTTTTTCCAATAGCAAAGAAAGCAATTATGATTTTTCGTTTTGTTTTTTTTTGGAGCAAAATAAAACAGCTTTGGCATAATAAGTTTAGACAAATTATCCATGCTAATCTTTTTTTAGAAATAGTTGAAAATTAATTGAATTACTTGACAGCAATGAAAGAAATTATTTCCAAATGTATTTGATGGATGAAAAAAGATTTTATTGACCTCTGACATCTAATGATGCTTCGAAATTATTAGTAAATGACAATTTTTAAATCTATAAACCTTTTTGACTAATTTGAATAGTATTCAATAAAAAGAGTTAATTTTCAAGACTTTTTTCCATAATTAAAAATTTTCCTATTAGTTAGTTTGCTAACAAATTCTAAGTTATGCCCACTAATTAATTAAAAGTCAGTTTTCTTAATGAGAATCAATGCAAGAAATTATGTGCCAGTAAGGATCACTGTTGACATTTAAATTTCAAAGTGATTAGGCAAATAGTACTGATAAATTGACATTTAAGTTGCACTTGTCATACTATTACTTATCATGAGATGCTTATTTTGAAAAATCTCTCGGAGATTCATCATTTCTGCTAAATAATCGATCAATTACTAATACTTACCCTTATACTGACATAGTTTACCGGAATATGAATGGCGACATTTGCACTCGCCATTCTCATAATCACCATGTTTTGAGCATCGTTCATCATCTTTTGGTACTTCCTGGATGATGTTTACATCAGCACAAGATCGAAATCCGTATGCTTGACCCCATTCTAAGGCTTGACGTTCAAGCAGAACAATACATGATGCACATGGACGTGTAGGTTGAACTGTCGCATGCTGCAACCTACAAAACGCAGTAACTATCTCCCATGATACTTTCTTCTCAATGATAAGCTAATAAACTATTAAAATTCTTCAAAACAAAATGATTACTTTTACTTTTTTTTAAGAAAGTGAAAAAAAATATATATATATATATTTAATGATATTATTGTTATAGAGGGGAAAAATTACTCCTCAAATTTTTTCTTATTCATTTTTAAGCAATCATATTTACTGAACATTCTCATTTTTTGCTAAATTTTACCAATTTCAAAGGAATTTAAAAACCGAAAAGAATTAATTTTAGGATTTTAAAAAAAATGTTCATCACAGTTGAGATTTAAAATTTGTCCAAATTTATCATCAAAATTTAATAGAATTTGAAAAGGCGACTAACCGGTTTGTAAAATTTTTAAAAAAAAAAAAGGTTTGTAAAATTTTTAAAAAACTTCGTTATCTGTTTGCTTTAAAATAAAAATTTTCTAAAATAAATAGCATTTAAAAGGTGAAAAAAAAACTTGCGTTTGGTCTTCGATACCAACATATTCACTACCTTTTACAGGCGCTAATTGCTCAATAATGTCACCAGTTTCATTTATTACCGATAAACGATATCCACCCTATATATAAAAATTTGTTTTACATTTCCTAAAATTTTTCTTTCTCAAATTAATTATTGTTCTATCACTTAATTTTTGCACAAAATAAACAAATCTTATTGACAAAATTTTAAATTTTAATAAATTTCGGCCAAAAACACTAGAAACCATTCAGCTGAAAAATGTTTAAATAAAAATTGACCTAAAAAATGCTAAAAAAAAGGTCTGAAAATTTTATAAATTTTAAATGACCATTTGGTAATTTTCATAATAATTATAACAAATACTACATAATAATTAACTAACCTGATGTGGATATTGTAATCGCCATGTAAAATTATATGACTCACCAACATACAGTTGAGTATAACGTGCTTAAATTAATTATTAAAAGTTATATCAAAATTTGAACTTATTGAAAATAAAGGAGCATATCAACGAGGTCAATAAAGAATTTGTTGATCATTAGGATATTGTAATTAATCATTTCAAATTCGATCCAAATCAAAATATTTTTAAAATTTTGCTACTTTAGAATATTTAAGTTAGGATAAGATTTAACAAAAATCTAAAAAAAAATAAAAAAACAATAAGATCACTATTGCGTGATGAGCCTTTAAAATTATCAAAATAATGGAGGTAAAAATATTGCTGATCTTATTAATAATAATATCATAACTAGTGATAAGCAAACAGAAACTAACGATTTTCAGGTTTAGGTACACCACATGGACTGATTGTTCGAGCGGAATCCAAGAAATCGAGTGGTGGAAATCTTACGGGAGGAAACGTCAATGCCACGTGTCCAAAGACACTATACCGCAATAATAAATGCAACAGTAGCAGTAATTGTAACATATACTTTCTGCAATCTTTTACTTGTAATAAGTAAATAAGTAATGCAGCAAAGTAGATGTTACGGTGAACGAAAGGTGAATGATTGATAGTTTCTTCGGATACCCTGATAATATCAGTATTACGAAGTCACAGAAATAATAACAGCTCAACGGATCTTTCAATTATTACACCAGTAATGTTAATTAAACCTAGTAGTTAAAGTTGATAATAATTACAACCAGTAAATGTTGCTAATTAATACTAATAATAAGTAAGCAATCAATTCGAATAAGTGATAGACAATTCACAACTATTGATAAGTAAGCAGTCTTCAGTTAGAGCTTAACCTTTAGTATCAAGTTCAGGTCAGGACAAATCATACATCCATGCAAATGAATGCAGCCATGTATTATCAAATTTGATATTTTGAAAGAACTGAAATTTAATTTGAAAAAAAACTTATTTGTTTAAATTTTTGTTTTGAAAATGTAAAAATATGTATTCTTGAGCTAATTTAACTTTTCAAATTTCTACTTAATTCATTTTAGGAGTTTTAGTATAACCACATGGGAAAAATTATTGAACAAAGATGCATTGAGTTAAATTTTGACAGAGAAAAAATTATTTCTCACCAATTGGTCAGTAATGGCCACTGTTAGAATATTTGACGATAATAATAATAAAGAAAATTCAAAAAAGGGACGTAGAAATCTGTTTTTAAAGTACAATTCAACTGTTCATTGTCAATTCAAAATTCAACTTTATAATTCAGCTATTTATGAATTATTTTAACTTTTATATCATCACATCATTTACTTGGTATATCACTTACTTTACTTATCATATTTTACCATTTAAATTAAAACCATTTTATAGCATTTATTTAACTTATTAAATAAGTTATCACTTAACAAAGGGTTACCTTTATAACGAAATAATTCGCAATGAAAATGACAATAATTACTTCTGTCCATAAAATTAGATTCAATAGAGAGAATGAATGAAGTGAACAGTTGTGTAATAGTGCTTAAGAATAGATATTGAATATCACTTAAAGTGAAGGAAAAAAGTACTTCAATAAATTTTAATTTTACATGAAATATTATTACTTGACAACTTTATGAGTTTCACAATGACATCTTATAAATTTTAATACGCATCAGCAAGTAGACAGTATATTTGTTAAAAGTATCAATGAAAAGACAGGACATAAATGCCAATATGAATTTTTATGGTATAAATATTGGTAAGTTCGAAATTCTAACATCAATGTATCTATAAAATCTATAATCAAAAAATTTGAATGGAATATTTTAGAATTTAAAAGAAGAAATACTTTTACTCCTCGGAAAAATTAAGAATAAGAGATAATTTATAGGTAAAAAATAAAAGTGTATAAATATTTTGCACCATCAAACATTTCTATATTCTAGCATAAACATTTGTAGTAGTGGTATTCTAGCGAAAAATTAATGTATTGAATGATATGCTTTTCAGGGATATTATATATGATGATGAGATTGGTTTGAGAATTTTTAAAGAACTCTCAATTTAATGATGCTTAAAACAAATATCAAATTTACGCAACAGGTAATACCATTCGATCAGTGAAATTTGCAAATGGAAAATGATTAGTTGGAAATTTTTGAAAATTATTAGGAATTCAAATTTCAAATTAAATCTTTTTTTAAAAAAAATTAAGCAAAAAGATAAACATCCGTAGCAGACAGATAATAGTGGTAATAATAATAATAATAATAATAGTAATAATAATAATAATAATAATAATAATAATAATAATAATAATAATAATAATAATAATAATAATAATAATAATAATAATAATAATAATAATAATAATAATAATAATAATAATAATAATAATAATAATAATAATAATAATAATAATAATAATAATAATAATAATAATAATAATAATAATAATAATAATAATAATAATAATAATAATAATAAT